CTACCAGAGACTTGATGGCAGTGAGTTTATATAATGTATCGCTACCAATTTCCATTTAAGGAGAAGAAAATAAACTCCACACCATGGGAATTATATTAAAATTAATTGACAATTCAGTCAAATTTTATTAGGATTTTCACTACCATTTTTCTATATAGTGAAACTGAGAAACACCTTGGAATTTTAAAATCTAATTGTGCATGGTCATTTCCCTTCTTTTGAGTGTAAAAATAATTCTCTCATTACATGGGACATTCGGGTCTATTATTTCACCTTTGTTTTCTTTTTATTGATGTTTCAGAAAAAAAACCTCTGGATTGGTAATATAAATGCATTATACATTTGCATTTGAAAATACTCAACTTTATTGTTAATGATAAATAAACTTGTAGGTTGTAAGCCACAGGAGAAACCTTTTAAAATATTTTAAGTATAAATAAGTGGCAAGTCTTTTAGACATAGGCAGAATTCATGTCATATGTTAATCTCTAAGATCAGTAAATATAGTAGAATATGTTTGTAGTAAACATTTAATGGGATATAAAAAGATGGAAGGACTAAAATATGCCTAATATTCCTGAGGTACCTGGGTACTAAATATTCATCATATACTAATTATACAAAAAACAGAAAACTTGAAAACCAAACTCATTGCCATAGTTTCGATTCCGACTCATAGCAACCCACATTGGTTTTCTGAGACAGTAAATCTTTACCAAAGTCAGTCGCCCAGTCTTCCTTCCGTGGAGTGGCTGGTGGATTTGAATTACCAGCCTTCTGGTTAGCAGTCAAATGCCTTAGGCACTACACCACCAGAGCCCCTTAATTATACAAAAGGCACTAAATATTCAGGATATGCTAACTCTACAATATTCATGATAAGTGTGTCACTTATCGTTGACACACTTTCTGGCCCCATGAGTCCTCTACCCAAGAAAAGCAATAAAACCCAGAAGTCTGTCAGGCTAAGTGACAAAACTGTAGCTTTGGCCAGGTGCACTTGTGTATGTCTTTCTGATAGAGCAAACACATGCCATTGATGCAGGCTGTCTTTTGTCTGTGGACTTCATGCTTAAAACTAAACTCTTGGGAAGGCTAATGAGATGGAAAGACTTGACATATGAACATCACGAACCCTCAGGATTCACATATCATGGTTCTTCGACTCTTCTAGCACCCTATCCTAAATGTGTCAATTTACCCCATCTCTTTCCCCTTGCTTCTTGCTGTGCACTTTGAATTGATTTAATAATCCATGTGATTTGAGCATCTTAATTTTGTCTGTGAGCCTTTGTGTTCCCTGTCCTCTTGGATAGCCTGCCTGGAAGTGTATTTGGAGGCCCCATCATTGCATCAAGGTGATTTCCCACAAAACACCAGGCCTTTGTGCCATCCATAAGATCTGTAATATTGTATCCACTTACCTATGGACCACATTTATGGGAAATAAGGTTTCAGCCCAAATAGTCTAACATGGTATGATACATTTTCTTCCCATGTGATTTCAATTACAGTCTATATTCTATTCACATATTACATGCCATTAACAAACAAGGGTGTAATCCTATGTGTTACATATTTGTTTTGGAGAGTCACTATAAATTATTTCTATTCATTCCAAATTTTTAATGACATGCATCTTCCTCTAGCACAACATAATATATTTTGGATTTTCTGGGGGAAAAAAAGAATAATGACAATTTAATATTTTGAAAGCAAAATGACCCAAGGGATAGCTGTGTTGGTTAGGCACTCCTTACTTCTTTAGTGATGTAGCCATCTTTATTTATGTCGTACAAGTTAAATGCCCAGTTGAGTTTTTCTTGTACTGTTCCTCGGAGCAAAATGGAAAGACCCTTGATGAAATCCTAAAAAGAAATAAAAATACAGTTTGATATATTTCTAAAAAAGGAATACGCAAGGTCTTATCAAATAACCTCTCTAATGATGGAAGCAAGGGATACAACCCTCTGGGTTTTAAACCAGTCTCTGTATTTTAAGCCATTTATTTAGCACGAATGTTCTTGTGGATTCTCTGTTTCACAGGGTCATTTGTAGTTGTAAACATCCCTTAGGGTCAACATTCTAATTTCTAATTAAAAACCAACTTTGGGGCTGGAAATTACCAGCCACCCAAACAGCCATATGCTTGTGTGTAAGTGGTCTTAGCTTTTCCACTACGAGTGTACCCAATTCACTGAAAAGAATCTAATTAAACACTTTGTTTTTTAAAACACACATTTCCCATGAAAAGTATCTGCTATCAAGAAATGTGGACTGTCCTTAAGAGACAGACTAATCATAATCTTTATTTAGAAGCAAAGTTATAACTGCCTGAGGGTATGGTTGAAAAGCATAGACCTGGAAGCCACACTGCTAGATCCAAATATAGCTACGCCATTGTCCTGAGGGAACTTTACATTCTTTGGCCTCAGTTTTCCTATTTGTAAAATGGAGAAAACAGTAGTGTTGATCTCATAAAGTTTTCAGAGCTAAGCTGTTTTTAACAGTGCCTGGCAAGGGCATTTGCTATGCAGGTGTTCTTTAAATAGAGTCCACAGCCAACCTCACGGCTAGGTTGGTTTGATTGCATTGCAGAGGAGGCAGCTTGATTTGATCAAATTTGCATACTCTCAATGAAGATGCTCCCATGCAGAAGATGAAAAACATGCTCAGCATTTTTCAAGGTGAAAACTGAAGAAAAAATTCAAGCTTTCTGTTGAAATATTGAAGGATCCTGTGGCAAAATTGTGAGGATGGCGTTCTGTTGGACATAGGGTCACTGTGAGTCAGAAGTGACTCGGTAGCACCTGATAGCAACAACACAGGCAAAAAATTGAAAAATGCAAGAAGTTTCAAACTGGCGTCAAGTCAGTCTGACTCAGAGACCCCTCCTTGGGTTTCTGAGGTGGTCTCTCTATGGAGTACATTGCCCAATCTCCGTTCCAAGGAGTGGATGGTGGGTTTGAATCGCCAGCCTTCTGGTTAGCAGTCAAATGCCTTAGGCACTATGCCACCAGAGCTCCATGGAAGGAGTACACAGAGGCAATGTATCAAAAGAAATTGGTTGACATCCAACCATTTCTGGAAGTAGCATATGAAGAAGAACTGATGCTATTGAAGGAAGAAATCCAAGCTGCACTGAAGGAATTGATGAACAACAAGACTCCAAGAACTGATGGAATACCCACAGATGGCTAACATTAAACTGTGGTGATACTCTCAGCTCAACAGTTGTTAATGAACTGTTAGGGGAATGACAGAGCAGGAGGGAAATCTTGAACTGGCCTCCTACGTGTGTTCGTGTTCTCTACATTTTGTCGTTTTAACTGTCTTTCTGTCCCAATTTCTTGTAAATAAACATTCAGATGATTCAAAATATTAAGAGTATGAGAGGTATTACAAGGAAATGTTCCTCCCCTTTCTGAACCCCACTCACCCAATTTTCTTCCTGATAGGCAATGATATTAGTAGTTGTATTTAATTTTGAAGAATTCATGTGCATGAACAGGTGTAATGCATATATAACTATATAGTTCTCTCTTTACACAAATGATAGTCTCATAGGCTGTTGAGTGCATTTTTTTACGTTAAATGTTGTGAAACGAATTTCATTCTTTGTCACAGTTACATAGTATGCATGATTGTACCATTCAAACAGTTTCTTAATGATAAATATTTGAGGATTTCCAATCTCTTCTCATAAAAAAAATAATGCCCTTGGTCACCCTTCAGGCCTGGAATTGAACTCATTGCTGTGACTTCCAGCCAATCTTCAGACAGGCATTTAAGGTGAACATTTACACCACGTAGGTGCATTTTTTAGAATGATCAGCCATGGGAGATAACAAGGGCAGTGTTTGCACAGGGAGCTAGCCAGAGTGCAGGAATGCATAGGAAAGAAGGACACAGGGAAAAGGTAACCACCACAGGAAGGAAGTGGGAAGAGAGCTGTTGCATTTTGGGGATTGCAATCAAGGTTATGAAACAAAATGTGTATGAACTATTGTATGGAAAATGGATTTTCTCTGTAAACTTTCATCCAAATAATAATTTAATAAACAATAAAATAAAAGAAAAAAAATAATGCTAAAAAGAATAACTTTTTTATATGTATATCTATAGGGTAAATTCCTAGAAGAGGAATTACTGGAACAAAAAAAATGATTTGAACATTAGTCATTTATATACATATTTAAAAATTGCCCTCCCAGTTTCCTTTCAAAATATGTAAGAATTCTATAGCTTGCCTATGTCATATGGTATCAAACTTCTGATCTTTGCCAATTTTGTAGATAAATATTTATCTCAGATGATTTGAATTTATTTATTATGAATAAAACTGATCATCTTCCATATGTTTATGAGCCATTTAATTCTTTACTTTAAGATGTCTATTTCCTTTCTCAGTTTTCAATGGGTTTGTAGGTCTTATATTTTTGATTTATAGAAACTCTTCATATATTAGTGAAATTAGTCCTTGTCTGAGATATATCTAGCAAATATTACTTTCTAGTTTTTTTTTTTTTTTTCTTATGGTGATTTTTGCTAGGCAGCCATGTATTTTTTAAATTTTAATGTCATAGAATTTATCAACCTTTTGCTTTATGGCTTCTGGTTTATTTTACATTCAAAAAGTCTCCCATTCTTAGGTTATGAAAAGATTCCCCCAAGATTTTTAGTACTTTTAAGATTTATTTTTTACATTTAAAGCTTTATTCCAGTTGGAATTTAGCAGGTGTTTTTAGTTATTTAGTTTTCTCACCTTTATTTGTTAAATATCTCCATATTTTTACCTACTGATTTCAGATGCTACTTTTATCATATCCTTAATTCTTTCAAGTATTTGTTTATATTTCTGGATTTTCTATTTTGTTTTATTATCTTTCCATCTATGTACTTCTACCACATTGTTTTAATAGGTGTCAGGGCTGTTTTTTCCTCCTTGTTCTTATTTTTTTGTAACTGATTTTCTACTTTACCTTTTGATCTTCTTGTCTAAATTAATATTTATTTTTATTTTTTAAATTATCCTGTTTGTTTCTAGATTTCAAGGTAAATTTGCAGGTTCACTTCAGCAGAACTGACAATTGTACAATGACAAATCTTCCTATCAAGACCGTGAGATGCCTTCCCCTTGTCCAAGTCATCTTTTGTTACTTCATGAGTCAGTTTCCTATTGCTGCTGTGACTAATTACCACAAAGTTGATGACTTAAATCAACATGAACTTGTTATCTTATAGCTATAGTGGTCAGAAGTCTGAAGTGAGTTTCACTAGGCTGACGTCAAAGTGTTGGCAGGGCTGTGCTCTGTCTGGAAACATTAGGGGACAATCTGTTTCCTTGCCTTTTCCAGCTTCTAGAGACCACCTGCATTCCTTGGCTTATGGCCCTATCATCCATCTTCAAAGCACATTGCCCCAATTTCTGCCATATCT